TGACCCTGACTATCTCTAGCCGGTACCTCTTACCTCCTGCACAAGCTCTGGCTCCTTCCCCACCAGCGAGGTGACATTCCATGTCCCCAGGGGTAGTCTCCCTGTCCAGAGATCGGGTCGTCGGGGCCCTTTCCTTCGACTGCTGCCTGATCCACTGTGCACCAGCCCCTTACGAATCCCCCTGCAGGTGCTGGGTCCGCGGGAGCCATTTCTGATCTCCACAATTTTAAATTTAGGCCCTTCTTAACCTTCAGAAAGTGTATTCATTTTAAAAGTCCACACACATAACTACAACTTTCCAACTGATTACCATGTATTTTATAGCTATGCAAGAAAAAAAGAGAAAATAATCTAGAATTTTTTTACTTCTCAGAATCAAAACGAATCATAATCTTCTCACTTTTTTGTCAAAAAGTGAAATAAAAAAAATGTAATAATACAAACTGCTGCTGCAGGCAGCTTAGGTAACAGGGTACCAAACATGAATCAACTCCAATCAGCTTTAGCATAAATATTCATTGTGTGTACTTTGAGTATGTGTGTGTTTGTTCGCTGAACAAATATTTGTACTGGTAAATCAAAGAGGTCCTAGGTGGCTGCATTCTTACAATGGTACACAGTGTTCCTGTGTCAGTAACAACTTTGACACACAAACACACAAACACACTGCACACCCAAAGTCACAATGAGTGGCATGAGTATGGACTGTTGGAACCTTTTAAAGATTAAGGTATGTGCAAAGAAAGCAAGAAATAAAATCCATGATGGAACACAGGACAGGACCAAGGGGAGCCGGACTAACGTGTGGAGAAGTAGATGTAGGCAAATAGGATGATGTATGTGGTGACGAGGGGGATGAGCTCTGCGATGCCGATCTCCTCCTTGAAGTGGACATGAACCATGTGGTCGTCTCTCAGGCTGCAGTTGGCTGATGGGTGGAGCTGTGTCAGATGAGCCCGCAGGCTTCCCAGGAACCTTGATACACACACAGATACACAAGCTCAGCAGCACCACAGACACAGCCAACTAACTCATTATCTGTATATAATTACTGTAAGGAAACTGTAACATGATGAAATGATTCCTCGTGCAACAACGCACTTTGTTTTTTAAATTGAATCTGTTGGCTCACACTCTAAAATGCAGCGTGAAGAAGCTAAAAAGTGTCAGTAGTCTCACTAATGCTTAAACTTACCAGAGTAAAAGACTAAAATAAAAGCTAATGTTTCATGCCAAAGACAGAAATAACTCCTTCATTCTCTTCATCTTAAAACTGAAGTAAAACTGCACTTTAAATTCTTCTTTGGACTGTGAATGTAACTCACTTTGCATCGTAGCTGGCCAGCACTACAGTGATTGTGTATGTCACCACCCTCTTCTTGTTGTAGTGACTGACCCCTGTGTACTTCCCAGGGACGCCAAACAGCAGGTCTGAAAGACATAAGCATACACAGTGCAGCACATTAATCTAAACTGCAACAATTTTCTGCTGTCGTCACTCGCATCGGTGTGAGTTTTAGTGATGGCAAACATTCATTTAACTGAGATCAACAGTCACTCATTTGTTACTAGTCAAACACTGGCAACGCACATGCAGTATATCAGAAGCAACTCAGACAGTTATTACCTATGTACAACCTTATCGGCACCAGCCGGCAGCAGCTCTACATAGATTCATCATTACTTGGGACAGTGACTTAAATGTTATGTTAGAAAACTTGGAAATCTCTGTGTGGTTATCAGGCTGCGGTGCCAAGTCGTTCAGTAATCACATCTTAAAGAGCAGGAGCATGTAGAACAAATGTACCTCAGTAAAAAATTTTAAATGATGCATTTCATCATATCTCTATGACATGAAATACATTCAGTTTCACGTGTGCCCATTTTAATCCTAACATAATTCATATTAGGTACTCTATGGAGCTCAGGGGGTCTGACTTTCCCAGGACAGGTCTGGCTGGCCTTCACATCAGTTCACTGTGAATAAGAGTATCCGTCTAACTATATATGGCAGCCAAGCTGTCCCTGACTCCAGCCCAACAATAGGTTTCCCACCTGTAAATCACATGAGCTGGAAGATGAGGCGCAGTGCTGAGCTGGCTTTGAGCCGCTAGAGAAGGTGATCTGGTTCATTGCATCAATGGGTAAAGTTTTAAGAGAATTCAATTTTCCAAGGAATGAAATGCTTGTTCTGTCAACAAGAAAGCCTGTTAGTGTAATGACACCACTAATCTCCTGCTCGGTACCTCCCTACAGCTGCACCTGACAAGTGATGACTCCTTCCAACAAGGGAGAGTATAAAGGACTCTGAATAAACCACACTCCATTTTTCGCATCTTCATGTTACATCTTAGCCAAGTCTGACCTTAACAGAGACACCAATTACTGAAAATACAAATATTTTATGCTGCATCGTGGCACAAACCATGATGAGCACAAGCTAGAACAGAGAGGGTGTGAGTAACAGATGATGTGCCAAGATAATTACTATAATAACTCTTTAGTGACGCTTGGTAACCTTTACAAACAGTTGTCTGACAACTACAAATACAATGTCTGGATGAAGTTTACAGTACTGGCACTTTGTCACAAGATCAAATAGGTTCATAATATTGGAGTTGGAATTTTGGAATTTTTCCACATTATACACTCTGTCAGTGCATGTTATGGTTCAAGGCACGAGTCTATTACAACTACTGAAAACGAGAGCATTTGACAAGTCACAAATACTGTACAGGTGCATCTCAATGGATCTCTGAATGATCCAATGTTGACCTAAATGACTAATGATGATAAATAGAATCCACCTGTGTGTAATCAAGTCTCCGTATAAATGCACCTGCACTGTGATAGTCTCAGAGGTCCGTTTAAAGCGCAGAGAGCATCATGAAGAACAAGGAACACACCAGGCAGGTCCGAGATACTGTTGTGGAGAAGTTTAAAGCCGGATTTGGATACAAAAAGATTTCCCAAGCTTTAAACATCCCAAGGAGCACTGTGCAAGCGATAATATTGAAATGGAAGGAGTATCAGACCACTGCAAATCTACCAAGACCTGGCCGTCCCTCTAAACTTTCAGCTCATACAAGGAGAAGACTGATCAGAGATGCAGCCAAGAGGCCCATGATCACTCTGGATGAACTGCAGAGATCTACAGCTGAGGTGGGAGACTCTGTCCATAGGACAACAATCAGTCGTATACTGCACAAATCTGGCCTTTATGGAAGAGTGGCAAGAAGAAAGCCATTTCTTAAAGATATCCATAAAAAGTGTTGTTTAAAGTTTGCCACAAGCCACCTGGGAGACACACCAAACATGTGGAAGAAGGTGCTCTGGTCAGATGAAACCAAAATCGAACTTTTTGGCAACAATGCAAAATGTTATGTTTGGCGTAAAAGCAACACAGCTCATCACCCTGAACACACCATCCCCATTGTCAAACATGGTGGTGGCAGCATCCTGGTTTGGGCCTGCTTTTCTTCAGCAGGGACAGGGGAGATGGTTAAAATTGATGGGAAGATGGATGGAGCCAAATACAGGACTATTCTGGAAGGAAACCTGATGGAGTCTGCAACAGACCTGAGACTGGGACGGAGATTTGTCTTCCAACAAGACAATGATTCAAAACATAAAGCAAAATCTACAATGGAATGGTTCACAAATAAACATATCCAGGTGTTAGAATGGCCAAGTCAAAGTCCAGACCTGAATCCAATTGAGAATCTGTGGAAAGAACTGAAAACTGCTGTTCACAAACGCTCTCTATCCAACCTCACTGAGCTCGAGCTGTTTTGCAAGGAGGAATGGGCAAAAATTTCCGTCTCTCGATGTGCAAAACTGATAGAGACATACCCCAAGTGACTTACAGCTGTAATCGCAGCAAAAGGTGGCGCTACAAAGTATTAACTTAAGGGGGCTGAATAATTTTGCACGCCCAATTTTTCAGTTTTTTATTTGTTAAAAAAGTTTGACATATCCAATAAATTTCGTTCCACTTCATGATTGTGTCCCACTTGTTGTTGATTCTTCACAACAAATTACAGTTTTATATCTTTATGTTTGAAGCCTGAAATGTGGCAAAAGGTCGCAAAGTTCAAGGGGGCCGAATACTTTCGCAAGGCACTGTATACAGTAAATGAACATACTTTCCAGAAGGCCAGCAATTTGCTAAAAATGTTTTTTTTATAGGTCTTATGATGTATTCTAATTTATTGAGATAGTGAATTGGTGGGTTTTTGTTAAATGTGGGCCAAAATCATCACAATTAAAAGACCCAACAGCTTAAACTACTTCAGTCTGTGTGTACTGAATTTATATAATACACGAGTTTCACTATTTGAGTTGAATTACTGAAATAAATCGACTTTTCCACGATATTCTAATTTATTGAGATGCACCTGTACATATTAACAGGCTTAATTTTCTGTTCACATCATGGAATGTGTGAATGAAATGTGGTCTCAACTTAAAGAAATGTGAGCATAAATACCTCTAATGTACTTTTTCAGCATTAAAATTCTAAATTTCTAAGAAGTCGTGAACTTACAGTGATTAAGATGCATCTTCTCCATTAGCACGTACACTAGCTGTCTATTAGCTTTTCACGTGACATCGACCCCTCAGGCATCCCTACCTCGCAGTGTGGCTGAGGTGTGCAGGCCTTTGGGTTCATGTTTCTGGATGGTCTTAAGGAGGTCGGGGTCTGAGTTGAACAACTCCTGCTGGTTCTGCCAGTAGTTGCCAGGAGAGACGAGCAGGCAGCCGTGCTCTGGTAGCACCGACTGCATCCGCCGTAACCCTGGAAACAAGCCTGTCACCTGGAGACATAACGTCTCCAGACTGCGAACTCCGAAGCTGACATATGAGACAAGGAGGAGACAGAGATGAGGAACAGGAGGGAGGAGGTGAGAGGAAAGGGGAACAAAGAGAAGGAGTTGGCATGAACACACCTCACAGATAACAAAGGCTCCTTCATTAATTATTATCTGAACAGGAAATAACATGAATCTATTATTTATCTACCATTTTTCATGATAATTAGACAAATACTTTGTCATTAATTTGACTATTGGGAAAAGATTTTAGATCTGAACTCCCTTCATTGCTGCAGGTTTACAACAAAACAAACTGTCCTACAATCAGCACTCATGTCATTGCTTGGTGCAGTACAGAAATTAATTAGCTCTAAAAAATAATAATAATACCAGTGAGAACAACTACAGCAATAACTAACAATCTAGCTTTAGCTGCAGCCCTAATTTTGTCTATAGTTGGGACAAGCAGAGTTGCTGACGGAGGTTAACAGTCTTCTACTGAACAGAAGGAATGCCACGCAATGTGTGTACTGTATGCACGTGTATGTGTGCGTGCACTTACCTATCAGAGTGCACATGGTTGTGGATCTCCTCCAGCAGGCTAAAGACTCGGCCCAGTGGTGACCTAAAAACATCCACTGGCACCAGGCTGCTGTCCCACGGAGACACCGCCGCCTTCACCAACACCTGTTGGATGTAGGCCACTGGAGGACCCCGGTACTACAGCACACACACAACACACACAATGTAGCACATTCAGAAAGACAAACTGTTATAATCTAATGAACCAGCCACATTAGCAGGTCTTTAATTACTGTGTACCAGAACTCATATAGTGAAAGTGTTCTGTTAAAGCTGTACAATTTCCTGTTGTCCTGCCTCAAACACTGATGGTAAATTAAAACTACTGCTGACAAGTGAGCCTTTGGAGCTCTGTGTTCATTATTTATGGGCCTCTATCTTTGCTGTGAAACTTGTTTGTCCATGTCCAAGTCAGAAAAACTGTTTAAGACTTTCAGAGTGAGGACAGTTTTTATTGACGGTCAGCTTCAAATTCAGAACTTACTTTTGGATGAGGACTAGGAATAAAGGTTAAGGAACAAATGTAATTAGAGAGGTAAGGACAAAAATTATGGCCAGAGACTAAAAACTCTACAGTGTATATACTGTAAATGTGTGTAAGCTTTCTGCTGTCCTACCCAGTCGGGCTGTTCTCCGAGGTCTCCCTGAGGCTCATGGGAGGGGACACTATAGTCTCGCACCCATGTGGTGAACTCCACAGGACCTGTTCCAGGCAGGGGAAGCCTTAATAACGGATAGCTAGAGGAACAGAGGGGATGGGGGTTACAGGTAAAAAGAACAAGAATGACTGAACTTGTCAAAGTCTGCTGCTTTGTTCTGTTTGGTATGTTCTCATCAGTTCAACGGAAAGTTAAGCTAATGACACCAAATAAAAACATGAAACTCCATTTAACTGCAGTATTCATTGTTAGACAGTACAGCTGAAATTAAGAACTAAAAGTCTTTTTTGGTGTATCAACTTACCAGACTAATGTGTCTGTAACAATTTCTTTCTCATTCTGACACAGCATCATAATATAAAATTCAGAAACATGAACAAAATTAATATCTGTGCAGCTGCACAGTAGCTTATAACCAGCAGATACTAGAGATACATGTCAATAGTAGATTATACATGCCAAATATAATTATACACACATCACAAGTACCTCATATTTTCTGTGCAGCTAATTCATTAAAAACTGAATCATTTCATCACTGTAACACACTCTTAATGGCAATGCATTCAGAGACACACGTGGACAGTTATGCAGAACAGAGTTCTTGATGATGCAGTCATGTTTAAATGGAGTGCTTTAGTGGGAAGGATAATGTTTGTGATGTGTGTGCTCACTTCTGTAAATAAGAAACCGGGGCCTCCGGCTTTTCTCACCAGCCTAAGTGCTACCTGTACAGACCCACTCCATCTTTCTCCTGGAAAAGGGTGGGTCTTTATGCAGTGTTCCTTTGAACAACAAAAAACTTTTTCCCTCACCCTGTACTGTAAGTGTGTGTGTGTGTAGTAAGTCTGTTTGAAATCGTAGTGTTGGGCAACTGTGAGCCATTTTTCAGCTGTGCTAGGAGGGACAGCTAAATAATCAAAGAATTACACACGGCACACACATACCCACATCACGGGATTCACACCACCAACAGAGCTAACTCAATCCTTCTAAGACCACAACTATGGGAGAGACAACTTTCAGCACTTATGCATTACTAAACCAAAGAGTAAGACAGACATTACAGAGGCCTGTCATATCAGTGGTCAAGTAAGAAGAGCCCTAGAAAAAGATGGTCCTAGGGCTTTCATCAAGACCAAGACAAGTCATAGCTAGAGCTTCACGAAGACAGCCCACTGAGTGTGTCTAAGGCTGCATGAACCCATAGTGCCCCATCAAATACATAGACGTTCACACTCCTGGTAGGTTACTGCCGTAACTCTTCGATATACGATAACATTACTATCTGCTTTCCCAATCTATAATCGCACAAGCCTCCAGATGAGGGCCCGTTGAAAACTGTCTCAAAAGGAGGAGTTATTAATTAACTAAGAATTAGTTTATTTAAAAAATATATTATTATTA